CTGCCATTGAGTTGATTCCAACTCGTAACGACCCTCTAGGACAGGGCAGAACTGCTCCTGTGGGTTTCTGAGACAGTAACTCTTTATGGGAGTAGAAAGCCCCATCTTTCTCCCCAGGAGCGGCTGGTGGTTTCAAACTGCACGCCTTGCAGTCAGCAGCTGGCACATAACCATGACACCACCAGGGTACCTTGTATAGGGAACACACCCATATAACCAGCACCCAGATCAAGAACCAGAACCTGACCTTCACCTAGAAGCTACCCTCCCTGTCCCTCCCCCCAGGAGAACCCACTATCCTGACTCCCATCCTCACAGGCTGGTCTTGCTTGCTCTTATCTGAACAGCACCGCGTGACCTGCACTACCCGGTGTTCTGGGCCTGCCTTTCTACTCGACTTGGAAATCCATCCACTTTATTCCGTGTGTGGCAGTGGGCCTGTCCCTTTTCACTGCTGTATAGTATTCCACAGGTATTGGGGTCCTCGTTTGGCTTATTCAGACTACTACCATGGGCTTTCCCTCCGAGATGGAGGCTCGGGAGGCGGGTGCAGCACCCACAGCCAACACTCCAGAAAGAGACGCTGGTCTCACTGCAGAAGGGCATTTACCCCCAAAGACAGCGGCTTCGTTTCTGTGGTTGTTGAGAACAGACGCGGCAGCAATTCCAGATGCCAATTGTCGACAGGGACCGTTCATCGTGACATTGGCTGCCTGCCTTGGGCTATGCAGCCAGGCTCACCCTTCTCCCCACCCCACTCATGCACACACCCTCGCCGCTCACTAAACTTCCCGTCTAATCTTTCCGGTCTCAGTTTGATCCCCCCCAGAGCGCCTGTCCGTGCTCGAGACTCTTGTGCTGGTGAAGTTCCTAGTTACGTCAGACTGTCGTGTGGTTGGAAGAAGACTGTGGCCGATAGTTTGGGGTTGTGGGTAATAGTTGAGGGGGCTCTGGTCCCCGGGTTAGGCAACCTTCACGCGTCCCTCCGCACCACGGCTGTTTCCGATTTCCCCTTTCCCAGGAGGGTCTTCCGGCAGGGCCCGCAGCCTCCTTCGTAGGGAGGTGGGGCCTGGCCCTGCGCACTGCAGGAGAGAGCGGAGGTGACCGGAAGGAGGGACAACATGACACCGCCCTGAGGACTTGAACCCGGAGCCCGGTGCCAAGGCCTGGGCAATTTGTAGCCTGTCCACACGCCTGGCAGGTCCACAGAGGGCCTTCTCTTTTGAAGGGACTCAGAGTGTGGGGGCCTCCTTCTGAGATCGGGCTGACATACAAGCCCTGGCTTTGGGGGAAGCACGAGGCTGCCTTCCTCAGAGCCTCTGTTCATTCCGTTGAACACTGCGGATGGTGTCCTGTGCTTCCATGGCCAGTAACACCCGCCCCGCCCCCCCCAACTCTGGCTGATCCGAATCACCCTTGGAGTCTCGCTGTCAGGTGATCAACACAGCCAGGTAGAAGGGAAGGAAGGCAGAGAGCAGGCCCCACATCTAGAGAATCAAGGGACCTGCCTGGGGGCACGTAGCCAGTGAAGGTGGGACCCAAGGGGACCCAGGACGCTTGAGCGCCAGCCCAGGAGGATGCCCCCAGAGACACTGGGCACTGCCTGCTAGGAGAGGGCTTCTATTACGACAGCCCCCCTGGGACTCAGACACAGGGACACGATGGCCCACCGCGTTAGGAGGTGTTCCCAGGATGCTCAGCTAGATGGGCCGGGCCCGCATCCCACCTTGGGCAGGCAGGAGGTCGGTCGCCAGTGATCAAGGTCAGCATAGGCACCGGGAGGGGCTGGCTGTGGACAGCCTCCCTCTGGGGCAGGGCCTGCCAGCGGGCTTCTCCAGCCCCTTCTATTCCGTGCCAGCCCTGCCCGCTGACTGAGTGGCTGGGAAGTGGGAATGAGCAGCAGCACTGTCTCGGGGGACTGTGTGAGGGTTCAATGAGGGGGAGCAGGCAAGGTTCTTGGACCAGCTCCTGACACAGTCATCCACCCACCGTCCCTGAGGTCATCCCCACGCACAGCGACCCAACAGAGGGATTCCAGAGTCTCATCTTTCTGCCTCCAATCAACTGGTGGGTTTGAACCACTGGCCTGGTGGTGAGCGGCCCAATGCTTACCCAACAGAACCATCAGTAAATGTCCTTTTTTAATTTTTTCTTCTTTTTTTTCATTACTGTAGTAGGAAAGAATGGGCTACCCTCAGTAGTCCCTGAGGCTAAACCATTACTATCCCCACAGTTACTTTAGCACACCTGGTGTAAATGTCCTTTTAATGCCTGCCCCCGCCCTCCCCAATCAAACCAACTGCCATCGAGAGCATCCTGAGTCACAAGGGCCCCACATGCCTCCGAGTAGCGCTGAGCTACTAGGGCTCCCGATGATTGTTCTCAGATGGCCAGGCCTTTCTTCTGCCGCACCTCTGGGTGGTAAGCGTCTGAGTGGGTGAGTGAGTGTGCGTGACAGTGTAGGACTGTGTATGAGTGTGTGGGTGCATGAGAGTGCATGGGTGTGAGATGTGTGAGCATGTGCGTGTGAGAGTGTGAGCATGTAAGGGATGTGTGTGAGTGTGAACATGTGCGAGTGTGTGGTGGGTGGTAGGTCAAGAAGAGACAGAACGAGCCCCACTAGGCAGCCAGTTGGGCTCAGAGCTAAAGTCCAGCCACCCAGCCCAGGGGAGTCAGAGAGCAGCTGGGCCTGATCAGCTCCCGGGGACGGCCCCTGGCCAGAGCTGGAAGTCCAACATGAGCAGGGTTCGGCCAGCTCCTGCGTGCTGTGCGTGTATGTGTGTGCGTGTGGTGCGTGTGCATATGCGTGTGTGTGTGTGTGTGTGTGTGTGTGTTGTCCATTTGTTCTGGGAAGAATCCATTCCTTTATACCTTTGATCTGGGTCTCGGCAATTCCCTGGAACCTACATAGGCTCTGCAAGCTCGGGGCAGGACAAAGCAGAGGCATGGACGTGTGGTGTGGGCGCCCGGCTGGCAGGACGGCCTGGGCTGTGCAGCATAGAACACACACTCCTCCCTGCCGGAGCCGCCACACTTAGTAACTTTGTTTTCATGACCGGTTCTTGGGTAAACAATCCTTTGTCCAGAGACCACTGCTGACCTGCCTGTCTATAGTGCTTTTCACTTAATTCCCCCCACACCCCACGCCCCCCACTTCTCACCCAGTCCCTGAGATGCTGAGTCTGACTAGCACCTCTGCTAGGCTGAGTCTGGGGTCTCCCCAGGTCAGTTTGGCTGGGTCTGGGTCTGCTCGGTGGGATCTGGGGTCTGCTCAGCAGGGTCTGGGGCCTGTGCAGGGGGCCCTGGGGCAGGGTCTTGCTCCGTGTCACTCACATTCAGAGGTGACGCCACCTTTGCTGTCCAGGAGAGGACCGGAGGCAGAGTGCTCAGCCCTGAAGTGGAATCTGGTCTTTCTTTGAGTCCTGGCCTTAGGATCTTCCTGTTGCCAGGGCAACCACAGGAAAGACCCACAAGGGGTTCAACTTTGCTGGAACCTTCCACGGGCAAGAGGTGCCTCGTCGATAGCTGGCATCAACCTGGCAAGACTTGGGTTTGTGTCCTCACATGATGACTGTGGGTCCCTTTTGCTGCTGAGCTCCCTGTCTGCCCCCTCCGAGCCACCCCAAGCATCACAGACTCCGGGCAGCACCCCACTCATGAAATTCAGCGCCTCATTACACTTAGAAGCCCGGTGGTCCCCTATTTGGGT